ATGCTAATGGACTTTGGTTAATCACTTTGTAGGGGGGTTGTACACTGACGTTTGTCATAACACATGGTTGCTTCTAGGCAGCTAAAACACGCGCCTAAAAGCACTAAGATTTTCTCGAGCCTGGCGCTTGCGACCCACTTAACAAACCCCAAAGAACTACGTGGTGTGAGTGTGTGAGTGTGGTGTGTGTTGTGTGTGTGTGATGTGAGAGTTGTGTGTGTGTGTGTGTTGTGTTGGTGTGTGCGTGTGTTGTGTGTGTGTTGAGTTGTGTGTAACCACGAACACGTGGCCATTTGGTCAATAACAACACAGCGACTAGCCGAAGATACTAACCCAAGTTGTTTTAGCCCGCCCACATTGGTGATCCCACCTATCGTTCAACACTTTCAACCATTACTCATACATAATCACTGTCTTTGCAAGGTGTCTCAGATGCGACAGGCTCAGACGACCCCCAAAGTGCCAATATCTCAAACTACCCCTCATTTAAAGTGCATGCAATGTGCTCTACCATTTCCAGGACTCGAGTCCAGCTAACCCGGATTTCCATGAATCCCCTTCAGGTACTCCAAAAAACCATTTCATCTCATACACTCGACTTCCCCATCAACACGCTTACTCAGGATCATCAGGGAGCTAAAAGATAAAACCTGGTAAAGACGACAGGAGAGGAAAAAAAAGATTGAAATATCATAAAACTTATAGGAGAGTAGGATATTACCAAGACTGAAAAAAATCAGAGAATAAAGGGGATACTATGAGGGTATAAAAAATAGGAGCCGAGTGGAAATTTATTTGTCATGACAGAAGCTGTGAGTGAAAACAGGGATCATGCATAAGTAATCAAAGGTACAAGGTGCATCAAAATCCCAGCAGGTGTATCTAGAGTGAGACAGAACGAAAACAGAATAACAGAAACTGAGACTATACAAAATTACAAGTGGCAAGAAAGAGAGACAAGGCAAAAGACAGGCTGGGCTACCCAGCGTTAGGAGAAACAGCAAGTACAACCACACACTGAACCACCCACAGAATACCGCAACAAAACAAAATTAACCCCCCCCCCCACAAAACACACTCACTCAGAGCACTAACTCCACCTACACAGCAGTTTCTCATAATATCCTAATAGGACTCCCACTACCCAGGCCCCCACAAATTCCCAGAATACAATTTTCGAAAAGATGCTGGAGGTATTGTTCACCAGTGCACATGGAATAATTAAAATGTATCAGAAATGGCATGGAAGAATCATGGAGGCATCCCCAGATATCATGGAAACCAAGCTCATGCAGTCTTTCCAACTCAATATCAGACCCTGTGGAAAAATAGAGGGAACAGACAAGGTTGGAAAGTTGCACTGCTAATCAAAAAACAGTGGAGTTTTGAGGAGGTAGGAGTGGACAGAAAGAAAGCACGGGACTACATATTAGAATGCTTCAGGCTGGAGGTCCCAGGGTAGTGACTGCTGCTATGTACAACCTACCACTGAATAGCAGGAGGCCAAGACAAGAGTATGGTGAGAGCAACAGAGCAATGGTTGAGACATTAGCTAAGGTTGCCAGAAGGGCCTACATGGGCAGGGCAAAGTTACTAGGTTTAGGTGACTTAAGTCACAAGGAGATTAACTGGGAAAACCTGGAACCACATGGGAGATCAGAAACGTGGAGGGCTAATATGATGAAGGTGGCACTGCATCAACATGTTGGGGAACAACCAGAGAGAGAGGAGATAATGAGACAACAAAGCTGGACCTCATATTCATCTTTAGTTGTTCAGACATTGGCAACATTACATACGCAAGGCCCCTCGGAAGTATAGATCATGTGCTTTTGAGCATCGAATGCAATGTAGAGCTAAACGTGGAGAGAGTAGCAGCACGAGTAAGATGGAAGAAACCAAACTACAAAAAAGGGGACTGCATAGGTATGAGGAACTTCCTGCATGAGGTATATTGGGAAATGGAACTGTTGGGGAAAACAGTAAATGAAATGATGGATTACATGACCACAAAATACAATGGGCTAGAGGAGAAATTCATAACCAAGGGCAAGATAATCAATGGAAAGACCAGAACGAGTTCCTTGCTTCACCCAAAGATGTAGAGAACCAAAAGTAAGTGTGCTAGAGAATGGAAAAAAGTATAGAATACAAAGGACCGAGCAAATAAGATCAGCTGAAGAGCCAGAAATGAATATGGGTGGATAAGGAGTGAGGCCCAACGGCAATACGAGAATATCATAGCATCGAAAGCCAAATCTGACCCAAAGCTGTTCTGCAGCCACATCAGGAGGAAAACAACAGCCAACAACCAGGTAATCAGGCTGAGAAAGGAAGGAGGAGGAGGAGAGATCACATGAAAAGCTAAACACGATATTTAAGGAAGTATTTTCACTCGAGACAGAATGAACTCCAGCAAACCTGCATGATAGGGTACACCAAGTCCTGGACACAATACACACAACCGAGGAGGCAGTAAAGAGGCTGTTAAGTGAACTAGATACTACGAAGGCTGCAGGACCGGACATTTCTCCTTGGGTCCTAAGACAGGGAGCAGAGGCACTGTGTGTGCGATTAACAAGAATCTTCAACACATCTATTGAAACAGGACAACTATCTGAGGTGCATTAGACAGGAAATGTAGTCGTAGTCATTAAGAAAGAAGAATGGAAGGTAGCATTAAGCAACATACCAATTTAACTGACATGCAGAACATGCAGAGTCGTGGAAAAGCATATCAGATAAAGACTGGTGGAACACCTAGAAAGGAACGTGCATATAAATAGTAACCAGCATAGTTTCAGGGAGACTAAATCCTGTTTAACAAGCCTACTGGAGTTTTATGACAAGGCGAAAGAAGTAAGGCAGGTGATAGAGGGGTGGGTAGAGTGCAACTTCTTGGGCTGTAAAAAGCCTTTCAACAAATTTCCGCACAAGAGATTAGTGCAAAAGCTAAAGGAGCAGGCAAAAATAACAGGTAAGGCTCTGCAATAGATCAGCGAACACCTGACAGGAAGGAAACAACGAGTGATGGTAGGGTACACCAACAAGTTCTGGACACTCTACATATAACCAAGAAGGTGGTGAAGAGACTGTTAAGCGAACTAGATACGTCAAAGACGGTGGGCCCAAGCAACATCTCTCAATGGGTCCTGAGAGAGCAGAGGCATTGTGTGAGCAATTAACAACAATCTTCAACACATCTTTCATTACAGGGCAACTACCTGAGATGTAGATGACAGCAAATGTAGTTCTAGTTTTTAAAAAAGGGGGTCAGAGGAGACGATTAAATTACAGATCAGCGTCACCGACATGCATAGTATGTGAAGTCATTGAGAAGATTATCAGAAAAATTGTGGAGCACTTTGAAATGAATTAATGAGCTTATATTCCATAATCAGGACGGTTTTGGGGAGGGAAAATCCTATGTCACAAATCTAAAGAAGTTTTACAAGGTAACAGAAGTAAGAAAAGAGAGAGAAATGTGGGTAGATTGAATTTTCTAAGACTGTATTAAGACTTTCGAAACAACTCCGCACAAGTTCTGCAAAAGTTAGATGAGCAGGCAGGAATACAAGGGAATGCTCTGCAATAGATCAGAGAATATCAAACAAGAAGGAAACAACAAGTCATGGTACATGATGAAGAGTCAGAGTGGGCGCATGTGACGAGCGGGATGCCACAAGGGTCAGTCCTAGTACCTGTGCTGTTTCTGGTATACATGAATGACATGATGGAACTGATAGATGCAGAGGTGTCCCTGTTTGTAGACGTTATGAAGCAAATGCGAATAATTCAACTAGACGAGGTTCATGTGGGACTAAAAGGGATCTGGACAGGCTGCAAACCAGGTTCTCCAGTTCGTTCCTGGAATTTAACCCCACCAAGTGCAAAGTCAAAAAAGGCGGTAAATGGAATACATGCTATGAGGACAATGGTTGCAAACCTCACTCAAAGAAATGGTTCTTGGGTGAGTATAATACCAAGCACATCTCTCGAGGTGCACATCAACCAAATAACTGCTGCAGCAGATATTTGGTATAACGTACACGGTGTACATTATACACCGTGTACGTCAGGCCCATATTGAAGTATGCACCACCAGCATGGAACCCTTACCTGGTGAAGCTCGTTAAGAAATTAAAGAAAGTGCAAAGGTTTGCAAACAAAACTAGTACCAGAGCTAAGAGAAATGTCGTATGGGAAGAGGCTAAGGGAAATAAACCTGACGACAATGAAGGACAGGAGAAACAGGGAGACACGATAACGACATATAAGATACTGAGGGAAACTGACAAGGTGAATAAGGACAGATGGTTTTAGAGATGGGACAGAGCAAGATGGGGTCACAGCTGGAAGTTGAAAAATCAAATGAATCACAGGGACGTTAGGAATTTTTTTTTCCAGTCAGAGTTGCCAGGAAGTGGAACAATCTGGAGTGTGATGCAGCGGAGGCAAAACCTTTACATAACTTTAAGAGCAGGTATGATAAAGTTCTTAGAGCTGGGCAGAGAGAGAGAGAGAGGATCTAGTAGCCACCAGCGAAGAGGCGGGACCTGGCGCTGTGAATCGACCCATGCAACCAAAAATATGTGAGTACAGATAAGGGAGTACACACACACATGCATGAAACACACAATATTTGGCATAGTGTATTCACCTATTTATTTAGTAATGTACAGTATATATGTCCGCACTTGCATACGTAAATGCATATGAAATATACATGAAACCAAATATAATGTCTTTCATAAATGCTGCCATCTTAGCTTGACTCATCAGTTTTCTGCTGATGACCTCTTCTCTCTTCTAATGTTTACTTTCATAGTTTTCACTGTACATAAGTCATACTCAGCCAGGTAATATGCACTCAAGAGCAAATATATAAAAGCAAGCTTCACAGTGTTCAGGGGAAGGAGAGTCTGGGACCACCATAATGATAATCGTGATGTTAATAACGATTGTGATAAATCTGATAATAATGATGGTAATGATAACAGGGCGGAGTGAAAGCGGTGGTGTACGCAGACGTGGTACAAACCTTGCTTATGTTTGCTGGGGTGTTGGTGGTGTCAGTGATATGCTGCCAACAGCTGGGAGGACCTGCCAACGTCTGGTCAATCGCTGAAAAAGGAGGGAGACTAGAGTTCTTTAAGTAAGTATATTATGAATCATGACTTATTTGTATGTTTATATACTCCCAAAAAAATGTGTAATAAATATTGGGCAGTGGTACAAGCGAACCATCACATAACTACAACAAAATTACATATTGCAACAGGTTGAGATTCTTGTCAGTAAACTCTTCTGTTTTATTGTCTCTATGTGTCAGGTATATAATCGATGAAATCTGAGATTTATACAAGTCCTTTTTGCCTGTTCCTTATACAGTATGGACCCAAGTCCCTTCGTGCGTCACACCTTCTGGTCAACACAGGTTTTTGGAGCATTCTCAGTGCTCGGCTCAGTTGGCTTCAACCAGCCTCAGTTCCAGAGATTTGTCTCAGTCAGAACTCTGAGCCTCTCGCAGTT